ACTCAGAGAGGTTTTACGAAGATTCCAAAACGCAGGCCTCAGAGTAAAAAAAGATAAATGCCAGTTATGTACCGAAAAAGTAGAATTTTTGGGATATCTCCTGGACAGCCAAGGAATTCATCCCACCGAAGACAAATTACGAGCAATTAAAAAGGCACCCACTCCTAGGAACAAGGCAGACCTACAGGCGTTCCTTGGACTTATCAATTTCTATAATGTGTTTTTACCCCACAAAGCAACAGTAGCTGAACCATTGCATAGACTATTAGACAAAAAAGCAACGTGGGTTTGGGGACAACGGGAACAACATGCTTTCCAACAAGTAAAGAAATTGCTAACTTCTGATTCAGTACTTATGCAGTACAACGAGACTCTGCCACTCACTATCACGTGTGATGCATCACCTTTTGGGGTTGGGGCAATTCTGGCCCATGTGTTACCGAACGGAGCGGAGGCCCCCATCGCGTTTTTTTCGCGAACCTTAGCTAAAGCTGAACGAAATTATAGTCAGCTGGACAAAGAAGCTTTAGCTATTGTTGCTGCAGTTAAAAGATTTCACGAATATGTTTATGGCCGTGTGTTTACAATAATCACTGATCATAAACCGCTACTGGGGATCATTGCGGGTAATAAACCAACTCCGTATGTATTTTCCCCCAGAATGACCCGTTGGTCTGAATTCCTGGCGGCCTACAACTACACCTTGCAACACCGCCCGGGGAAATCGATTCTCCACGCCGATGCATTGAGCAGAACACCGCTCCCAGACGCTGTTGTGGATCCAGCCCCAACCCTCTCAACACTACAGATTGAAGCTCTACATACACCATCATTGACGGCTAGAGACATTGCTTTTGAAACGAAACGTAACCCAGTTCTGCAACACATACTACGCTGGGTTGAACGGGGGTGGCCGACGGACCAAATTGCACCTGAATGGGCGCCTTTCAAAGCCCGCCAAACCGAGCTGTTTTCCCAAAAAGGCTGTATCTTGTGGGGAGATCGAGTCGTAATCCCTGGCAAATTGCAACAGACTGTGTTGGCGGTATTGCATGAGGGACATCCGGGCATTGTGCGGATGAAATCACTCGCACGCAGCTATGCTTGGTGGCCGGGAATCGACTTACCATCACGTCCTCATTGCCACTCCCTCTGGAGCCAATCACTTCTGGGACCAGAGTTTCACCATCCTCAAATGGGAGAGGCTCCTTCTTCATGGAGTTGGGTGATCCAATCAGCCTCTTCCCCTTCTCTCATGTTATATGCAATGGCAGTAATCATATCCCAGTCTGATTGGTATTGGGCACCATAATGATCAATGTGTGCCCAAATCCAGCTGAGGAAGTAGGATAATTGGTCTCTGGTGCCGTTAAAGGTGACTGGGAATTGTGGCAGGGTAGTGGCTGGAGGCAGTACAGCTGTGGCTGGAGAATTTGGTGGCAGACCTGGACCCAGCATCCACTGATATTGGATTCACCCATGATGGGATAAAAAGCCCTCCTGGGCAGAACATGGTCTGCAGGCAGCATCCCTGGAGGGGCTGGTGGGGCTTGTTGGATCAGTCTGGGTATGCCTCCCTGCCTGCCTCTGTTCCCAAGGCTCAATCAGTCCAGTGGCCCTAAGAGTCATCCTACTGCATCAGGTGATTGGGCTGCAGCTGCAGTGGAGTGACTTCGTTGCTGGGACCCGGGTTTTGGACTAGTCACTGCGGATGCTCCACTCTGGCCTGCTACTGCTCCAGGTCCTGGATAGTGGAAGACAGGCTGTGGCAGCACCCATCCTGGCTGGACTGCGTGTGGGGCGGTCTGGACCATGGGACCCACACTCAGCTATTCAAATTTTCTGGGTAACCTGGCTAGCGACTGGCTCCACAACGCTGGTTGGAGTCTCCACTCTTGAAAATCGCCAGCCTCTAGGAATTGTGGTGGTCTCCACTCATAGGCAGCCCCAGCTCCCAGTGGGCACTGTGCTCCCAGAGGAGGGGTAACACCAATCCCTTGTTCTGTCAGCAGGGTCTGCCAAAGGGTTGGTTCCTTGAGTCTCACACCACTCTGGATATCAGCCTGCGTGGCCTCGGCTGCTGCCACTTCTGCCTCCAAGGGTAACAGCGGGTTTCACAGACTTCCTCCTGCATGGGTCCGGTGGCCTCTTCACCAGTCTCTGGTTCTTGCTCCATCTTCCCTGAGTCTTTACACTCCCAGTATTTTGGGGGGAGCTTTTTGGGGCTCAGTATCCTGGGCAGCGGCACTACGTTTACCCCTACCCTGAAGAAATTACATATCTTATCCAAAAAATTTCTTCTGTTCAGAATTGAAGAAAGTCCACTTGCCAATTCTGAGCTGACTAAAGGAGACTGACAACGTCCTGCCTAATTGCCTGGAGGCTGTAGATTTGAAATGGAAGGAACCATCTCTGACTCAATCCAGCCAAGAACAAAAGGCTGTGGGCATTTCAGCCATCCAGATCTAGAGATGTTCCATCTCAGACTTGGATAGGACAGCTCTTCTCCATTCATGCATGGTACACAATGTCCAAGTTTTCTTGGCTGACAGCTGACAGCTCCTGCTCAATGAGCAGATGGCAACTCTGGTCAGGAAGGCCTTTGCACATAATGGAATATTGTTTACATGGAGCTATTGTTTAAGAACACCTGGAAGCTTCATCTGGTGCAGAATGAAGTGGCATGGTGGGGGGAAATGGTTATAACATACAAATCCAACAATGAGAGTACATGTGGATTAATCTTAATTAATTTTTTTATAAAATGTATTGTTGGTATTTGTCAAGGGAAATTTTTTTTAAAGTACTCCGAATTCATGCTGGAATAGTGAACAACAAGAAGGAACTTTTTATCAATCTTGGTATACATGTAAAAAAGCTGAAAACAATTGTATCAAAATACACATGTTAATTTAGAAGATTTTAAAGATGAATATGTATAGAAGGTAGAGGTATTTCTTCAAGATCACGTGAAGTGATAATACCATTTTATAATGCCTTGAAAAAGCCACACTTGAAATTCTGCATCCAGTTTTAGTTGCCATGATGTAAAAAATATGTCAAGACTCTAGAAGTACAGACAAGAGCAACAAAGATGATTAAGGGACTGGAGGCTAAAACAAATTAAAAATGTTTGCTAGAATTGGGTATGTCTAGTTTAAGGAAAAGAAGGACTAGCGGTGACATGATAGCAGTGTTCCAATATCTCAGGGGCTGCCACAAAGAAGAGGGAGTCAAGCACCTGAGGGCAGCAATGGATGGAAATTAATCAAGCAGAGAAGTAACCCAGAACTAAGAAGAAATTTCCTTTCAGATAAAACAATTAATCAGTGGAACAACTTGCCTCCAGAAGCTGTGATTGCTCCAACACTGGAAATTTTTAAAAAGGGATTGGACAACCATTTGTCTGAAATGGAATAGAGCAGAGGTTGCCAACCAGTGGTCCACAGATCACTGGTAGTCTGTGAGAAAATTTTGGTGGTCCGCAGCACACCAGTGTCTGCAACAGGGTTGATACCAGTGGGGGATGGACTGATGTGCATGGGGAGGGAGGGTAGCGCAAGGGAGATCGTGGCATCAGAGCCCTTCCCAGGTATTCCCTGGTCTGTGAGGGGAGAGTGCGATCTCCTGCACCCCTCCCCTCAGGAGCTGCAAAGTGCTTGCTGCTTCTCTGGCAGCCACCAAGCCTCTTCCCACTGTGCTTCTTTTCCTCCTCACCAGAAATGCTCACATGCCCAGTGGGAAGGAGGAGGCTTGGTGGCTTCCAGAGAAGCAGCGAGCACTTTGCAGCTCCTGAGGGGTGGGGTCAAGCCTCCCGCTTGCAACATCTTCACCCTGGGCATCACTGGCAGCCATTTCCTGCGGCTCAGGGGGTCCACGCTCTTGCCACTGCTGCTCAGTCTCCTCGATGCATGAAGGCAGGAGACAGGATGCAGCAGCCATGACATGGGTTTGCTAGGGAGATTGCAGGATTGCCCCATCTCCCCACCAGCCAGATGGTCTTCAGCACATGGCTCATCAGCCTCGGGACATCAGATTCCCACAACCCACTCAGAGGGTTCCTTCTCCACCCCACCCCCAGGGACAGAGAGGGGGGAAGAGAGAGAGAGAGACAAGACACAGAGAGAGAGAGAAAGGGGGAGAAAGGAAGAGAGAGAGAGGGAGAGAGAGAGAGAGAGAAAGAGAAAGAGAAAGAGAGAGATGAGAGATCCCGGTGTTTTGTTTTCTGTGGGAAATGGGTCCAAATGACTTTTTGATGGTTTAAGATTGCAGAAACAGGCAGCCAAGCTAAATGCCTGAAGGACCCCATCCTGTCAGTAGGAGTCCAGGCGTTTCAGCAAGTGGCATGCTGGATTTATATTAGTGGTCTGCGGGATTTATAATAATGAATTTGGTGGTCCCTGAAGTCCAAAATGTTGGAGACCCCTGGAATAGAGTATCCTGCCTGAGCAGAGGATTGGACTAGAATGTCCTTTCCAACTCTGTTATTTATTTATTTCTATATATGTGCAGTAATTCTTCTATGTGCACAACAACGGAAAGATTCGAGACTACCCACAATGGAACAGTAGATGGTAAAGATGATGGAGCTTGAGAGATGGCTAAACTGAGTGCCTTGAAACACTAATTAATTGTTCGGATATTTTTCATGAAACAAAAAAAATGAAATTATGATTTGATGATTATAAATGATAGATGGTAGAAAAAATGAAAATTGCCTTGTAACCATAGATTAGGAGTTTAATGCAAAATTATAATGGTTGGAAAAAAATGGAAAGTCAATTTCTATTTATTTTGTCTTTCTTTTTTCCTGCACATTTGGCTTTGTTCTTTTTTCTGTACTTCTTTCCTTTCTCTTAAATACTGCTTTCTGTAAGTTATCTTTCTTGTTTAAAAATTAATAAATTTTAGAGATCCTGTCAGCCATTAATTGAATCAGATATCCAACAATAAGACCTCAAATTCTACTGATTCACACCTTTGATGGATTTTGTCCTCAGCTCAGTAAAAAGTATGGCCCAGTTTTTACCATCTGGATGGGAACAAAGCCAATGGTTGTGATTTGCGGACATGAGGCAGTGAAAAGTGCTTTGGTAACTCATAGTGAAGAATTTGGTGGACGACCTCTAGTACCTATCGTTGATCAAGTAACGAAGAGCAATGGTGAGTGTACAGATTATTTTCACTTTGATTTCAGATGTAGTTTTCATTTCTAGACCAAAAAAAAAAAAAAGAAAGATAAACTTTTCCAGGTAAGTGTCGTGTCTGTCGCAGAAAAAGACTCGGAGCCAGTGACTTAGTTTCAGCTCTTTATTGCTCCGAGATCGGCTCGGCTCGAAAGGGAAAAACGGTGGCTTTTTATTCCTTGGCCACGGCGGCCGCGGCCAATGGCACAACTTTGAATCTCCCGCGATTAGTTTCCACCAATCGCGGGAGATTCGCGGCGGGCCAATCAGTGCGGCTCGCTCGGCCAATCAGCTCGCCGTGCGTCTTGACCAATCACCGCACGGCGTTTACAAGTATGTAAATGACTGTACAGAACACCCCTCCCCTCTTGGTAGGGTCCTACGTAACGTAGTCCCGTAAGTAGGCGGGGCTTCGCACTTGTCTACTTGACCTGCGCAGGTTAGTTGGTGCTTGGCTCCCGGCCGGTTTGGTCGGGTTCTGTGTTGCTCTCTGCCTCGTCACTGGAACCGTCTGGAAGGGTGAGCCAGGCCATTCGTTGCAGCTCCTCCCCGGTCTACCCGGGCTGGTTGAGCTGCGGTTGTTGCCGCTCCTGCCTGGTCTTTCTGGGCTGGTTGAGCTGGCCTGGCAGCTTCTTCCTGGTGAGGTTTCAAGCTGGCTGCTTGTTGGTGAGTATTCCCAGTTTATTTCTGGTGTGGGTTGGTTCTTGGGGTCTTCCCTCCCCTCTTGATTTGTGTTGGGGGGTCCCCTTCTTTTTCTGGGTATGTGTTTGTGTCTGTTTGTGTGTCGGTTGTGTTTCCCGTGGTTGTTCTTGACCTTAATTGGTCGATGTGTCGTTTCCATGCTCGTCTGTCGGTTGTCTGTAAATGGTACGAGTGGGGACCTGTCACTTGGGTTACGGTTGCTGGTATCCAAAGTGGGTCCCCGGTAAGGTTCCTTGCGTATACTGTGTCGCCTGGTTTAAAAGTTTGGTCTTTGCTTTAGGAGTTTGGGGTTTTTTTCTGGGTTGTATGTGGGGTGCAGTCTGTCTAATGGGGACCTTAATTTCCTCCCCATTAATAGTTCTGCCGGGCTTTTGTTAGTTGTTGTGTTCAGGGTTATGTGTTGTATCAGAAGCATTTTATTTATTTTTTCTTGGATTTCCCCGTTTTCTATTTTCTGGATTGTTTTCTTTTTGTAAATTGAACCATCCGTTCCGCCCTCCCGTTCGCCGCCGGATGTGCCGGCGCTGTCAATGCGTGTCGTATCCCCCGTTCCGCTAGGAATTTTTTGAATTCTAGTGAGGTAAATTGGGCCCGTTGTCGGATACGATAATGTCTGGGAGGCCGTGGGTTGCGAACAGCTTGCTGAGTTCTTTGGTAATGGCCTCCGTGGTGGTAGTTTTCATGTTGCTTACCTCCAACCAGTTGGAGTAAGCATCTACCGTAATGAGGAAGGTGTGCCCTTTCGTGGGTCCGGCAAAGTCTATGTGAATCCTGGACCATGGTCCCCTGGGGGTTTCCCATTCCAGGATTGGGGAGGCAGGGGGGCTAGGCCTGGTTTCCTGGCATCGGTTGCATGCTGCCACCCAAGCCTCAATCCATTTGTCTATCCCTGGCCACCATGCATAGCTTCTGGCCAAAGCTTTAGTTCGCACGATGCCTGGGTGTCCCTCATGCAGCAATTCCAATACCTTTCCCTGTAATTTTTCCGGAATGACAACCCTATCCCCCCACAGTAAACAACCTTTTTGTAATGACAGTTCTGTTTGCCGGTTCCGGAATGTCCTGAATGTTTCGTCGATGTCTTTTTCGGGCCACCCCTTCTCTACCCAATGTAACACTCGCGCCAGACGTTTGTCTTTATTAGTTTCGCGGGCAATGTCTGACGCGGTTATGGGTAGATCGGGCAGAGTCTCTATGCTAAGGGTGGTCGTCGTGGGTGCTGGGTCGGTGTCCAAGTCAGGTAGCGGCGTGCGGCTCAGGGCGTCTGCGTGGGTGATTGTTTTACCGGGTCGGTGTGTGAGCCGGTAACTGTAGGCGGCAAGGAATTCGGACCACCTTGTCATTCTTGGAGATAGAATGTTCGGGGTGGCCCTGTTTCCTGCGAGGATTCCCAACAGCGGCTTGTGGTCCGGCCGTAGATGTATTCGTGGAATCTTTTTATGGCGGCAACGATAGCCAGAGCCTCCTTGTCCAGCTGGCTGTAGTTTCTTTCCGGTTTGGTGAGGGTCCTTGAGAAAAAGGCGATGGGTGCTTCTTTTCCATCGGTGAGAGTGTGGCTGAGGACGGCGCCGACGCCGAAGGGTGATGCGTCGCATTTGACAGCTAGCGGTAGGGTCTCATTGTATTGGATGAGGACAGCATCCGAGGTGAGTAGGTCCTTGGTTTTGTTGAAGGCGGCCTCCTCGCGTTTCCCCCAATTCCATGGGGCCACCTTGTCCAAGAGCCTATGCAAAGGCTCCGCTGCGGTCGCCTTCTGTGGCAGGAAAACATTATAGAAATTAAGCAGCCTTAGAAATGCCTGTAGTTCCGTTTTATTTTTCGGCCTGGGGGCTTCCTTGATTGCTCTGATTTTTTTTCTGTTGGGTGAATTCCATGCCGATCTAACAGGTACCCTAGGAATTCGACCCTCTCGGTATGTAATTGGCATTTTTCCTTTTTAACCTTCAGCCCCGCATTTTTGAATTTCGTTAGGACCTCCCTCAGGCGACCCTCCAGTTCTTTTTGGTTGGCTGCCGACACCAGTACGTCGTCGAAATAGGGCACCACCCCCTTGATTCCTTGCAGGAGTCTCTCCATGAGGCTCTGGAATATTCCTGGTGCCACACTGACTCCAAACTGGAGTCTCTTACAGCGGAAAGCCCCCCGGTGGGTTACTATGGTTTGCGCCTTGGCGGTTTCTGCATCAACTGGCAGTTGTTGGTATGCTTGCGCCAGGTCGAGTTTCGCAAAAACTTTGCCTCCCCCCAGTGAGTGTAGGAGATGCTGCACTACTGGGATGGGGTAGGCGCTCTGTTGTAAAGCGCAGTTGAGGGTGGCCTTATAGTCCCCGCAGATTCTCACCAACCCATTGGGCTTGACTGGGGTGACTATGGGGGTCTCCCACCGGGCGTGGTCAATTGGTTTGAGAACCTCTTGACTGACGAGCTTGTCTATTTGCTCGTCGATCTTGGGCCGGAGTGCGAAGGGTACCCTCCGTGGTTTTAGGCATTTTGGGGGAACGCTGGGGTCTAGGCTGAAGGAAATAGGGGGCCCTCAGTACTTGCCTAGGGTGCCGTCGAACACTTCCTGGAAGTCCCTTGCGAGTTGTTCTTCCCAATCGGCCTCCCTGATGTGATCGATGCCCGTCACTTCGATTCCGAGTGGCGCGAACCATTGCAGTCCTAAAAGGCTGGACCGGTCTCGGTCCACAATCGTCAACGGGAGCCTTGCTTTTCGCCCCTTGAAAATTACTTCGAATTGTCCTGTTCCGACTACCGGGATGCGATTTCCCTGGTAGTCCTTGAGGATTAGTTTCTGGCTTCCCAGTCCCCTTCTTTGGATTTTGGGCACCAGGCGCTTGATTTCCCGCCATGCAACCATGGAAAGGTAGGATCCGGAGTCCACCTCCATCTTGCATGGCTCGCCCTCGATGCTCCCTTCCACATATACCTTCTGGGCATCTTCGCTGGATGAATGGCCGATGACGACCGTCTGGTGGGTTTCCTCTCTCTGCCGGTTCTCGCCATTTCGGCGGCCCCGTCCGTCTCTGTTCCAATGATTTTCGGATTGGCGGTCTCTGGGCCTGGGGGGGTGCCGTCTCGTCTCCGGTTGCTGTTTTCTCTCCTCCGGGGGCTGTAGTTTTTCTTGAGTCGGCAGACTCGGGCGATGTGGCCTCTTTTATCGCAGTGCCGACATATCGCATCAAAAAATTGGCACTCCGATCGAGGGTGGTCGCCTCCGCACCCGGCGCATTGGGGTCCCGACTTACGACTCCGTCGATCGCGCCAGTCTCATTCTGTCTGGAGTCGATGGATGTCCTCTTCCTCGTCCGTGGTGTCGGAACCGGAGTCGAGGTCGCCATGGTGTGTGGTGGTGGTCTCCCGGGGGGCTTGCTTTGGCGCGTGTCTCGGTTGCCATGCCCGGATCGGTGGCCGCGGTGGGTCTCCGCATCCGAGCCGCCGATTTCCGGGTCGCTTCGGCTGCGGTGGCGTCTGCGAGAACGTTGGCGAGGGTGATGTCGCCTTTTGCCATCAGTTGGCTTTGTAGGACCGGATCTCTGCGCCCCAGGACGACGCGGTCTCGGAGTGCCTCGTCCATGTCTGTAAAACCACACATACCCCCAAGGTTTCGCAGTTCAGCCATGAAATCGCTGATGCTCTCGCCCGCTCTTTGATCTCACCGGTAGAAATCGTGCCGCCTGATGAGGGTGGGCACTGCGGGGGCATAGTGGTTTCGGAGTAATGGCTCGAGATCGGCCCAGTCCATCATCTTCACGTCTTCAGGTTTCGCGAGGGCTTTCGCCATCTTAAACACTGCGGGCCCGCAGTGTGTTAGGAAAACGGCTCTTTTCTTCTGCCCATTCGCGTCCTTTAAGTTGCTACTTTCGAGGAACATCAGGAATCGGTCGGTGTACGATTCCCAATCCTCAGTAGCTGGGTTGAAAGGCGCTGGTGGGGCGATGCTGGCCATCTCGTTGGTCTCGTTTCCTCCGGACACGTGCTTTCGGGAATCAGGCTGGGAATCCCATCCTCGTTGCCAGTGTCGTGTCCGTCGCGGAAAAAGACTCGGAGCCAGTGACTTAGTTTCAGCTCTTTGTTGCTCCGAGATCGGCTCGGCTCGAAAGGGAAAAACGGCGGCTTTTTATTCCTTGGCCGCAGCCGCCACGGCCAATGGCACCACTTTGAATCTCCCGCGATTAGTTTCCACCAATCGCGGGAGATTCGCGGTGGGCCAATCAGTGCGGCTCGCTCGGCCAATCAGCTCACCGTGCGTCTTGACCAATCACCGCGCAGCATTTACAAGTATGTAAATGACTGTACAGAACAGTAAGTGATTGCATCCAATTTATTTTTGAAGAGGAAAAAATGAAATAGCTAAAACTGTTGGAGGTAATCAAAAATCTGTTTAGTCAAAATGCCGAATAAAAGATGAAGTATTAAAACACAAAAGAGCAGAGCACTGAAACCTGTGTTAAATATCTGCTTAGAAGCTACCAATTTCAGAATAGTCATCTCCTCAGTTCTTTTTAAAGCCAAATTTAAAAGTGAATTAATTAAATAGGGCCAAATCCAAAATTTAATAGTGAAAAACTTTCAGTCAGAACCAGCAGAAATATCTACAGATATGCTTTAAAATACATCAGATAATGCTAGATATATTTTTTTCTTTAGAATTTCATAGTCATTAAGTATCTAGTTTCAGCTAGAAGCTTTGACAAAATTTATTTCAACCATTAGTTTATGTTTCCTTTTTAAAAAAGAAGGAAGGAAGGAAGGAAGGAAGGAAGGAAGGAAGGAAGGAAGGAAGGAAGGAAGGAAGGAAGGAAGATTTGCCCTTTGCCATTTTTAGGACATATTTCAATGCCAAAACTACAACATTGTGCAATACTGAAAGTATCATACTTACAGTACACTTAGAAGCCATCAGATACTACTTGCTCATCTTGCTGATCTGCAAATCTACTTTGAGGGGGTGAATTGAAAGAAAATTTATTGAAATGAAGAACTCTTTCAAAGCTGGGTATAGCCTTACAACTTAAGATTCAAATGTTCTAAAATTAGTAGTTTGCAGGTAGTTGTTGCAATCAGGCCTTTTCAAACTTTATCCAGTAATTCAGTTCTCATCAGATTGCTGTGAAGTTCCCAAATTGAGGATGTCAAATTTCGGGATATATTGAAGCAATAGAAAATAACACTTTTCTTTTTCAAATAAAGCTTTTGTATATGTATGTTGGTGGGAAGCACATAAATAGGTATACTGAGTAAAATGAAAAGCTCTTCTATTCTTTTCACGTGTTCATTACAATTATCAAAATCCTTTTTAACATTACCTAAAATATAAAGTTGAATAGAAAAGTTCAAGCTCATAATCAAATTGAACTTCTTTTCCTTTTGCCAAAGTATCAATGACTTTTGAACAAAGAAATACAATTTTATTTGAGCAGGGTAAATGCTTTGTGGATGGCAGTGATAAGTTGCTCTTTAATTCTTTAAAAGAAATGTTCTAGTGTCTCTCACGTGTTGTGCCAACTTTTATCCTTCAAGGGCTTATAAGTGAAAAGAAATGGAAGATTATCCGTCGTTTTACTCTCACCACACTACGGAACTTAGGAATGGGACAGAAGTCAATGGCTGAACGGATATCGAAAGAAGCTCACTGTTTGGTGAAGAAGATGACAACCTTTGAAGGTGATCTTACATTGCAAAAGATTTTTATTTATTTATAGAATTATATCCCACCTTTAAGCATATAACACAAAGGAGTGCACATGATATGCCTCTATTTGCCTCGCAATAACAATACTGCGACATGGTTTATTTGTTTATGTATAAGTCCAGAAACAAATACTTCGTTTTTATTGAATTAATACTCTGCCTTATGTACTGGATTATTATATGCAAATTCTGTGAGGGGCAGCAGTCCTAGTCCGTAGTCCTGCCTGTCAGTCCAATAACATGTCAAATATTATTGCAACATCTGATTACTTTTCTCAGCATCTCCATTTGCAATAATGGGATGGGCAGGTGACAAACTGAACTTAAAGAAGGGAAAGAAGAATACCTTTATTGTCATTGCATTCCATGAATACAACGAAATTTGAAAGCTACCCCAGCACAGGGCCCCAAACACCACATCACAATGATATCACAGAGGTTTAATAATAATAATAATAATAATAATAATAATAATAATAATAATAATA